CTTGTATATTATACAAAATATGGATGATATTCTTTTAGCTGGCCCTGATCCTAAGGAAATAAATGAGGCCTTTGCGGAATTGCAACATAATGTTCAACTAGCTGGCTTAAGAATAGCCCCAGAAAAGGTGCAAGAATTTCCCTATCAATACCTGGGTTATCAATTGTTATATTCTGGTATCCGTCCTCAAAAGATTACTTAAAGGATGGATAGACTGACTACACTTAATGATTTTCAAAATTTTTTGTGAGATATAAATTGGGTGCGATCTGGTTTGGCCCTAACCACTGGGCAGCTTAGACCCTTATTTGATATTTTACAAGGAGATTCTGATCCCACTTCGCGCACCTTAACACCTGCTGTGCAAGAATGCACACAACTTGTGCAAAAATGCCTCCAATCTGCACACTTAAATTATATTGACTATTCTCAGAACTTGATGTTATTAGTTTTTGCTTCAGCATATTCCCCTACCTTGGTGTTTTGGGAAACTGGTTCTATATTATGGGAGCATGAACATGCATCCACAAGAAAAACAGATCTTATCCCCAGGCAATGCTTTCCATTATTCAAAAGGCATACAAAATGAGTTTTTGGCAAGATCCCTGATGCAACTGTTACTGCCTATACTCAACAATAGATACAATGGCTTCAACAGTTGTATGAAGATTGGGCATATTTCTTGTGTTCCATACCGTGCCACTTTGAGTCATTTTCCTTCCAATAAATTAGCTCATTTTTTTAAAAAAAAATCACCCTATGTGTTTCCCCAAAATTATTTCCAAAAGTCCTTTGAAGGGGTCCCACAATGTATTTATAGATGGCTCCTCAAATGGTTGTGCAGTAGTTGTTTCCTTTCCCATTATTAAACGCTCTACACTTAAAGTGAAAACTGTACAATTTGTGGTACTAGCTGCAGTACAATTAGCCCTTCAGTATTTTTCTGATGAGCCATTTAACCTATACACTGACAGTGAATATGTGCATCATATATTGGCCCCTTAGAAACTGCTGCCTATATAGCTCCAGTCTCTCCTGTATAGGAACATTTACTAACCATACAAAGCCTACTATGGAGGTCCTCTCATCCAATTTTTGTAGAACATCTCCAAGCACATTCTGATTTGCCCGGCCCTTTTACTGAAGGAAATGCCATTGCCGATTTTAACACTAAAACAGATAGTGCCATCATGATGATGAGAGAGTCTGGGTATGAAGCAGCATGCAAAGCTCATACAACTTTCCACCTTAATGCAGGGTCACTTAAATTCCATTTTAAAATTACTAGAGACCATGCTATTGATATAGTTAAGAATTGTCCCCTATGTGCAAAGTTCTTACCTGTTCCACGCCTTGGAGTTAATCCTCGGGGTGTCACACCTAATGATGTCTGACAGATGGATGTTACCCACGTTCCTTCCTTTGGCCGACTACAATTTGTTCATGTATCTGTGGATACCCATTCTCATCTCATATTTGCCTCTGCCCATACTGGAGAAAGATTTAAGGATGTTAAGAGCCATTGTTTACAAGCCTTTGTTTATATGGGGATACCCAGACAATTAAAAACTGATAATGGCCCTGCTTATACTAGTCAGGGTTTCAACTCTTTTTGAAAAGAAATTTTTTATCTCACATAAGATGGGCATCCCTTACCATCCTCAAGGTCAGGCCATGGTGGAGCGTGCACATCGCACAATTAAAGCCTATCTTCATAAAACAAAAAAGGAGGAATTTACAGGGTTTCCCCATAATCACCTTTCTCTTGTCCTTTATATTTACATTTTTAAACTATTGATGGTGCTGCTCGATCTGTGGCCGACAGGCATTGGTGCCTTCGGTCATCTGACTATAGTTCAATTTGTAGAAGAATGTCACTATTAAACAATGGTATAACCCCAACCCAATTCTAGTAAGGGCCAGAGGGTCAGTTTGTGTCTTTCCAGAAGACACAGATAACCCTGTTTGGGTGCCTGAATGTCTGATTCACCATATGGGGAGGGACCGTTATTGTAGCAGCCAATATGAGACTGTCCGATGGGCCTTCATCAAGGATGCACCCATTCTGATGCCTGTGGGTTTGAGTAGCCAGCCCTGTGTGGCCCCTTTTTCCTGACCACTAATTATAGTTTCGGTCAAATGGCTATAAAATTACTCTTTGGTCCAAAGGATAAGAATTTCACCTTCATTTCAGGCACTTGTGTTCTGGTTCCCTTTGTTTTTGTTGTAACTAATGCTACTAATTTTGGAGGGAGTCTCAATTGTTCTCAGCAGTTCTGCTGACTGGTTAGCTGCTGAAAGTAACAACTGTCGTGGTCCATGTACCTGGGGCGGCACCTATGCCAGAGAGCTCTACAGATGACCAACGTGTGTAGCAGAGAGGAAAGGAGATTTCTGGATCACGGCTGCCAGTGCCGCCTCTGCCACTGAAGCAACAGTTTCTAGGATAGCCCTCTCCCAGTCTGTAAATACTGCAAGCACAATGGATCAACTATCAGGTGATTTGGCTGAAGCCTTAGCCAACCAAAGCAGACTTGATTATCTAGTACAAATTGGCATTTTTAAACTAAATCTACAAATTAGCCTCCTATATGAACACTTGAATTTTTTGTGAGAGGCTCATATGGCTTCTTATTCTCTCCTTTCACCCATATCTGTGTTAATGCATCAGTTGTAGTTAGTTTACTCCAGGGATCCTGGAGTGATCAGTTTTTAAATTATACACATGCTTTAGCCATGCAGATCATTAACATCAATGAAACCTGAGTATCACCTGCCAGTGCAGAAGACCTTTTACAAGGACTTCAACTTGCAAGAAGATTAATTAGAGAATGGGCATGCTCTCTCTCACTGGGGCTCATAGCCTTTGCACTTGGTGCTACTTCAGCACAGCATTAGACAGGCCCAGGCCAACTTTCATGACATAAGAGAAAATGCCTCTGCTCAAGTGTTGCTGACAAACAAACTATTCACCAGTGACGGGTAAGGCAGAGGGGGCAAATATCCAACCTAAGACAGGAGGGTTCCAGGCCTGGGTGACCTCTCCAATGATGGATAAGGAATTATGCTGACGTCCTCTGCCACCTAAGGCAGGTGTTAGTTTATATTAAGAGAAAGGGGGACCTGTAGGGCCCTGCGTGGACCACCAAGGCACCTTGAGCAAGCCTGAAAAGCTGTTGGCTGGAACTCCTTGCCCCAAAGCTGTTGTTGGTACTCTTCCCGTTTTGATAATACACACCTCATGACAACACACACCTTGTAGGGAGGAGCTATGCCTGAAAATCCTGTTATTTTCCACTGTGCTGTAAGTCAGTATTTAAGCCCGTTCCATCCCCTCAATAAATGGCATTCGGCATTCGGCATTCAGCATTCTGACATTGCCATTGAACGAATGATCAGTGGTCTTGTCTCTTTATTTCAATCTCTAGGTTTCACCCAATTCATGGAACAGATCATAGTGCAGGTGCTACTGAAGAGAAACAGGTTAAATTATAAGAGCTAGTTAGACACTCCGTGTCATGATTTGGGAGCTGGCCCAAAAGAAAAGCTGCTACAGTTATTAGTGTCCACATCTATGAAGATCTATAATGAAAAGGAGCAAGCTGTGGAAAGGAGATTACAAAGGAACAATGTGAGGAGAAAAGGGGCCCCAAGAGTGAATGGAGCCAAGTCCTGTGTTCAAGGAGATAAAAAGATTTAAGGGGATGTAAAATGGAATAAAGGGAGTGGTGGCCTCAGGGAAAGACCCCACCCAGATGAACTTCCAACCTGTAAAAAAGAATTAAAGAAAAGCTTGAGGCCAGGTTTGATGCCATACACCCTTCATCCTGCTCAGAAGGAGAGGCTGGTGAATCTGAGTTTGAGGACAGTCTGTTCTAAGAGTAAGTTCCAAAACAAAGCTTAGGCAGTGAAGGAAACCATTAAAAAAAAAAAAAAAGGCAGAAAGCTGGTGAAGATGTAACTGAATGAGGGGCCCATGTTCTAGCCCCAGCAAGCAACAGAACTTGGCAGCTTCAGCCACTTAGTATAGTTAAAGGTTTCTCATCCATGTCCTCTGACACACACACACACACACACACACACACACACACACACACACACTCCTCTCCCCATCCCCACAACTGCTTATCATATAACTAATCTAAAGCTTAATATCAATTATAATTGTTTGGCCAGTGGCTCAGGCATATTACTGACTAGATCTCACAATTTAATTAACCCATTTAGTTTATACTTTATTATGATGCTCGTGGCTTGTCACCTCACATCTTGATTCCCTAGTGGCTACAAGGCATCTCCCTGACTCTTCCTTTTCCCACCTAGCTGTATTTCACCTGGTCATTGGCCAAAACAGCTTTATTCATCAACCAATAAAAGTAACACGCATTTGTAGCACACAGAAAAACATCCCACACCAACATGATTCTTGTTTTAGAGTCAAGGATAGAAAAAGTTGGTAATGGGCTCCCCCTCCACAACTATGGAAAGCTGCTGAGGCCAGGCATGTGGCAGGTGTATCCCTGTGTGGAGGCCTAGAGGCCATTGTGTGGAGCTGTGAAGGTGAAACCTGGATTGTCTTAGAGAGTCCCAAATGTTGGAGATACCAGAGCTGTGGGATACCTGCTGAGGAAGGCTGCTAATAGAGAGTGGAACCAGCCCAAGAGAAGGAAGTCAACAAAACTGAAAGGGATTGGAGATCTGAAGAACACTTTGACATAAGACACAGAAATGCAGAGTCTGGAGTCTGCCCAGCTGGTTTTCAGTCTTGCTTTGGTTCAGTGTGTCCTCACTATACTTCCTTTTGGAACAGTAATGTATATCCTGTGCCACTGTATGTTGGAAGTATGTAATCTGCTTTTTATTTTGATTTTACAGGGGGATTATAGTTGAAAGATTGCATGAGTCTCAGAAGAAACTTTGAACTATGGACTTTTAAACAAGTATAAGACTGTTATAGACTATAGGGACTTTTGAAGTTCAACTAGAAGGCAGTTTCTGCATTATGCTTTGGCCACCAGCCTATGGGGGCCAAGGAGTGGAAAATGGCACCCATAGGCCCATAGGGTATAGAAATACAGATCAAGATTCACAGGGCCAGATTCAATACAGGTTATTATAATTTTATTCAGGGAGAAGTCACTTACACAAGAAAGCAGATGACTGCCACAAGTTCCCACTCCAGGGATCCACACCCAGGCTACTTACTCTCTGTGACCTGACTGGAAGCCAGAGAGTCACCTGTACCCCGACCCCAAACCTAAAACCACTCTCCTTCACGTCCTCACCTGTGACCACACCCATTTGGGTGTGATCAGCACTACAGGTGTGGGCGGGGTGGATATCTCACATTAGGGACTGCTAATATTAGGAGGTGTGGCCTTACTGGAAGTGGGCTTTGAGGTCTCATATGCTCAAGCTATGTTCAGTGTGGCTCACAGTTCACTTCCTGTTGCCTGAAGATGCCAGTGTAGAGCTCTCAGCTCCTTCTTCAGCGCCATGTCTGCCTGCACACTGCCATGTCCTGCCATGATAATGGACTAAACCTCTGAAACTGCAAACCACTCCAATTAAATGTTTTCTTGTATATGAGTTGCTGTGGTCATGGTGTCTTTTCATGGCAATAGAACCCTAACTAAGACAGGAGAGTGATAGAATGCAAGTGGGTTCTATTGGGGGCAAAGGGGGAGAGCACAGGGAGGAGGGGCAAGTACAGCTTTGCATGAAAATACCTTTTAAAAAACTTGATGCTTTGTGTACTAATTAAAAAGTTGGTTGTGGGAGAGATTGCTCAGTGGTTAGAACACTGGCTATTCTTCCAGATTCAGTTCCCAGCACCCACATGGTTGCTCACAACAGCTGATAACTCCAGTTCCAGGAATCCAGTGCCTTGACCTCTGAAGCTGTGGCTTTACACATAGAGATTCCTTGCTTAGGCAGGTGAGATGACATATACTTGAGAAATACAGAAAAAAGGAATTCCACTTCATCCTAAACTATAGAGAGAGACTGAGGCTTAACCTGGGGCTACACAGGTTATACAGGAAAACTACTTCTTAGGCTGGGCATGGTGCTACCTGCCTTTAATCCCAGTACTCGGGACCCAGAGGCAGGTGGGCATCTATGAGTTTAAGGACAGCCTGGCCTATGTAACAACTTGTAGGCCAGACATAGCTTTTTAAGGAAACTGTCTAAACACAAAGAAAATCTTGGGCTGCCCAGTTGGCCCAGCAGGTTACAGCACTTGCCACCAAGAACTGAGTTTGATTTCCAGGAAACACATGGCAGGAAAAAAGGAGCAAGCTGTACAAACTTTCCACTGATCTCCACACATGCACCCTGACATACAGGTACACACACATACATACATACATACATACATACATACATACATACATACGATAAATAAAATTGTAGAAAAACATCAATGCTTCTTGCTAGCTCAGTTTCCATGGCTCTGGTTCACTTACTGTCTCCTCCATCCTCCACTCTTCATGTATTTTGGTAATTTATTTGCCTAGTGGAACTTCTTAGTCCCATCTTGTCCTTCCCCCCTGCCCTACCAACACTGGTCTGTATCAGTGAACTCAATCCACTCCCTTCCCTGCCCCAGACAATCCTTCCTGTTTCTGGGCTACCAGCACCATCATTCAACCAGCCATATGTGAAAGAATGACACCATTAGAAAATGGATTCCATTTTGGACTTGTGCCAAACACATTCAAGAATGTCCAAAAGTTAAAACCCAAGACTGAAGACCCAACATTGAAGATAAGGCAGGTGCTATAGATGTCACATTTAAAGTCTGGAATATTCTTGAATCTGTCTAGATTATTGGCTACAAGAACAAAGTGTGCAAGTCCCAGTTGATGACAGAGAACATGCTGAAGCCCAGGAGTCTCTGTGGAAACCACTGTGAGGCAAGCATGGGAGACAGTTCAGTACCAACAATGCATTTGGCAGCCTCTTTCACCTGTGCGTACCACACACAGTCCTCTGTAATGCACCTGGAGCTCAGAAACCCTCCACCCTTCACCTGCATCATGCCACATCAGCTTCCCCACCCCATAACAGTCAGCTTTTAACAACCACCACCACAGATCCAGTTTGAACCAGTGTTGGATATGTGGGCAATAAGGCAAAACTATGACTTCTAGTAACCTCTCAGAGGAGAATCCCCTAGATGTGCATATGACTAAAACCAGATACATTATAGGAAAGGACACGTGCAATAAGAAAAATGAATATGACCTAATTTGTCAATAAAAATAAGCAGTCATCAGTAACCTGGCCCTTCTTCTCTTGGATGCCATAAAAGGAAGACCTGAACAAAAACAGGCCACACTCATATGGCCTGCTATCAATCTTTTTTAATGTTTTACTTTGTTCTTAATAAATATACATGCACGGGGGGGGGGGGGGAGGGGTTGTGCACATAACTGCAGGTACCCAAGGAGGCCAGAAGAGGACAGTGGTCCCATGAAGCTAGAGCCATAGGCAGTTGTGAGTCACCCAATGTGGGTGTGGGAGCAACAAGTACTGTTAAAAGCTGAGCCATCTCTCCAGATGCCTCCTGCCACCCCATCCCCACTGTCAATCTTATCTCAATAAAATTAACTTGATTCTTTTATAAGGTAAAGTCTTCTTTCTGTTCTTTTATTTGTATCATTTTTTAATGGAGTCTCAAAATGCAGCCCTGGTTGGTCTGAAACACACAGTGATCAGCACCCCACCCACCCCCAAGTGCGCCACCCACCACCACCACACCACACAAAAGGCAAAGGTTTTGATGTTTCTGTTTGTTTGTTTGATTGGTTGGTTGGTAGGTTGTTGCTGTTTTTTGTTTGTTTGTTTGTTTTGTGTGTATGTGTGTGTGTGTGTATGTGTTTCTTGTTTATTTTTGAGAAAAGGTCTTGCTATGTAGTCCTGGCTAGCCTGGAAATCACTATATATACAAACCAGGTTGGCCTGACAGGTATTAACAAGCATGAAAGTCACTGAAGATGGTCTCTCCCATAGATGTGGCAGTTATCAGGATTCTGCTGAGACCCATTAAGGGATAGGTTCTTTCTTAGAGTCAATGGAATCTAAGTCCTATCTATGGGAGACAAAAGCTTTTTTTTTTTTTCCAAGACAGTTTCTATGTGTAACAGATGGGCTGTTCTGGAACTTGTACTGTAGACCAGGCTGGCCTCAAAGTCATAGGCTTTCATGAGCCTGTACTTGGACCACAACTCAAAGAACTTCTCCCAGTCTCTGCTAAGATTCATGCTTGCCTATCTTGCCATTTTCTTCAAATTCTAATAAAATGGTCTTAAGACTTAAAATACAAAAACAAATCCACACTGAAGTGTGTGAGATCAGATATGGCAGAGCACACCTGGGATTCCAGGCCTGTCTGGTTTACAAAACAAGACCCTGTTTCAAAAGAAAGGGCAGATCAATAGGGTCTAGGGGACCTTGCTCAGAGGTAGAATAATTGCAGGAGCTTAGGGTATTTACAGCTCAGTGATAACAACCCAGAGACTGGGTATGTAAAGGTCCTGGGTTCAAATGCCCTCATCAAAAACTCCATCCCCACACCCAAACACACACCTCAAGACTGTTGTGTAACAGTTTCATCCTAGATTAAAACTTTTTACCCTGCAGGGAAATCCCTTAAACAAGAAGTGAATATGAACAAGATAGCTTCAGGAAGTCCCTGAAACTGACCAGAGTAAGCAATAAAAGCTGAGAGTCCCTCACAGACAAGGTAGTTGGGCAGCAAAGACAACTGAGACCAGACCACCTGCCTAGAAGCAGAAGAAACCAGCTGAGCTGCCTGGAAGAGGTTTAGACCAGATCAGACCAGAGTCACTTGCAAAGGACACTCTCCAACCTGTCATGCTGCCTGTAGGGTGTGCAGTGTGCTCCAGGTTCCTAGCTTTTGTGAGCTGTCTCCTGTGCTGGGGTGTGCATTAGTGATGCAGCTGTCTTTTGAGTTATTTCTGCTCCTGGAAGTGACCCCTCACCCATATTCCTGGAAGTAACCCCAATAAACACTCACTGGCCCACCATGCTGGACTTTGGTGGTATTCGTACTTTGGTCTCCCTAGCCTGGATGAGTGAACATTATGTGTTTCATCTCCCCAGGAAAACTTTTGTTACATAAGACCTCAGCCACTCCATCAAAAATGGCCAAGGACTGTGCCTCCAAACACCTTCCAACATATTGAACCAAAAATACTTATGGCTTGTGGATTTTAGTTTATGTAAACTGCAGTGAATTTTAAATTATAAAATAAAATTTAAGTATCTAAAATAAGCAGAAAGCATATTTACTTCAAATAAAATAATATTTATACCTGACTGTTTAAATGCTCAGTCCCCATCCAGTGCTCCCTTTCACTCCCCCAGCCTTTCCCCCAAAGTCGTAGCCTCTGTCTTTTAGCCATTTTCTAGCCATGGTAGGGGATGCTGATGAGAAAGCCCACAACCTTGGAGACCAACTGGACTGTATTCACACCTCAGCTTTGATAGCCAGAGAAAGGCCACTCCAGCCCTGCTTTTAAAAAAAGAGTTCAACCACTAGAGGACCTGATTGTAATCAATTGACCTTCTCCTTACTCCTTCTGATCTCAGGCATTCCACCGAAAACCGGCCTATCACAAGGAATGGGGCGGGAGGACTCCCCCAAAGCATCCTCTGGGGAGTTCCTAACAGAGACAAAGCAAAAATGAACTGAATTGATTCTATCTAGCACTCTCAGAGGAGCAGGAACCCGCACCTCCAGGTACTCCTCAGGCCACTGGAGCCAGAGCCAATACATCCTCGAGGCCTCTGGAACCAGGTGATCCCAAGGGAAGCCCTTCCCTGTTTAGTCACCGGGCACCTGTTAATTGCAACAGATAAAGCTTGGACTGGCATCCGGCTCCGGTCAGGGAGGAAGCAACTACTCCCCAAAATAACTTCGACAGAAAATAAAAGAAGGCAGAAAGTGCCTAGTGCCACCAAGTGGCAGAGGTTCACACAGCCCTGACGTCCCAACCCCAGCACACCCCAGCTATGGGTGAAGCCCCTCGCCTTTGCCTACCAAAAGCCTGAGAGTGAGGTCTCCAGCAGACTTGTATTTCGCATTCCAAACAAGAGACTGCCAGGGAAGGTGTCTCCCAGCTAAGAAAAGGCAAGACCAGGGCTCCACCCAGAATTTGCCGCCTGAGACACACCTATAGACCTTCAGGCAAATAAAAGAGGCAGTCAGTTCTGTTCCGGGGTCGATGATGACAAACAAGCAAAACCACAAAAATAAGAGTCCCTGGGTCGCGGGTCCTTCCTGGGGGAGGGGCAAGTGGCTCTGTCACAACGCCCTCCTGGCCTCGGTCCAGGCCCCGCCGCAGGAAGACAGCAACCTCTCCAGTCCCTCGCTCTCCCTCCTCCGCTCCCCAGTCCTGCGCCCTGACATAGTTCTCGTTTTGTTGTTTCTTGAATGCTTTTCAAGAGTTTATGCATCGCATATATATGAAAATACCATAATAAAGCATATTACTTTCTATACTAACATAAAATATAAAATAATAAGACGTGTGTGTGTGTGTGCGCGCGCGCGTGCACTTCTGCTCTGTTGAGCAGTTTCCCTGCCATCTTCAAATGATGATACGGTGTCTCTTTGCAGTGGGAACGAAGTGGTTTGAAAAGTTCCCATCACCCTCATATAGCAAAGTTAGTGCCTGAGACTGTCCAGGCTTGGTTTTGGCTTCATCCTTCCTCAGCTCTGTCTCGAGAGTTCCTCACTTTAACCCTACCTACACCCCTTTCCCATCCCGTCCTGGTCTACCCTATAGCAAGAAAAGACGTCTTTCCAGACCCACCGCTTAGTACTGGTGGTCCCGAGATTGTCTGCCATGCCCAGCTCAGCCCAGCCCGGCCCTGCTTCTCGGATACCGAGGGAAGGGGCAGGTCCTGGTCTGGAAGGTTGGACAGATGCAGCGACGCGGTACAGGATGGAACAGGGCCTGGAATAAAGAACTGGGCACAGAGGAAATGACCAAGTGACCCGAACAAAAACAAGGACCATAATAGGGCTAGGCCGGAGTAGCGGCGCTTCCCGCTCGCTCACATCGCTTCCCCACGCGTGACTGGTGGCTTCAGTGTCCGGCGCCCCGCAGGACCCACCTGATCCGCAGAACCAGGCCCGGCGGGTGCGGTCAGCCGCGCTGGGAGCAGGAGCGCGCTCGCCTAGCAGCACCCAGCGCAGCAGGAGACCCGGCCGCTGCTCGGTTCGGGTGTGCCGGGTGTGCCGGGCGGGGTGCGCGCCTCCGTTCCAGCGGACGCCTCCTCCGGGCTGCGCGCCGCGGCGCGGGGCGCAGGCGAGCGGCGTGTGTAGACCCGGGAGTGGGAGGCTAGCGGGTCCTGGATCCTGACACAGCGCCAGGCGCGAGTGCACGTGTGTCTGGCTAAGGGAGGAGCGATGTTTGTTTCATCTCCACTCAAGCAGAAAAAAGCCTGAAACCAGCAAAAAGGAAAAAAAAAAAAAAAAAAAAAAAAAAAAAAAAAAAGGACCCTGGTCAAGGCCGTCAAGGCTGCCTCTGCCTCTGTCTTCTCTGACCTTCATGCAAGGGTCACAAAGGAGGGACAGGGGTGGGGGTGAGAGGTGGGAGGGGGTCTGTCACCCTATACAAGGAGCAGGGCCTCAGGGACACTGGCTTACAGCCAGACACCTACAAGCCAAGGTTTTCACCTCCGTGTATTTCCCAAGGGGAGAAACAGACACAGGCTCCATACTGCAATGAATGCTAGGAGGTAGGGCCCCAAGTGCTGAGTTCTGGAGGTGAAAGGCCGGCAGTGAGGCACCTAGAGCTTGGACGGCTTGCTTGCTTATGGTCATCCAGTCCTGGGTGTTATACAGGGATGTCTTCTGGAATTATTTAGGCAGGAGCCCAAAACAACTGTGGCAGTTTTGTGCCTCTAAGCCTACAGGAACATCTGTTGTGTCTGGTTTGCTCCCCCCTCAAACTCGGATGAATCTATTTTGTCCCAAGGAAAAGTAAAATTTTGCTTTGGCTAAAATAATACTCACTACTGCACACAGTTTTCTTTGTTTAGAGAGAGAGGAGAGAGAAAGATTTGTTTAAAATTTAATTCTACATGTATGAGTGTTTTACCTTCATGTACGCTTTTGTATTATGACTGTTCCCCCAAGAGTTCAAAAGAGACTATTTGGATCCCCTAGATCTGGAGCCACCTTGTGAGTGCTTAAAACAGAACCCAGGTCCCATGAGTCCCAGGGCCAAGCTCCTCCCATGAGGACCTCCAATTACCAGGTTCCAGCAGAGGACAGCCCCTGTACTACAGAGATACAGAAAAGCTATATAAACCCCTGCTCGGTTTCTCGACAGCAGAGGCAGCCACCCTCCTGGGTTTATCTCTTGTGTGAGGTTTGCTATGCCTTGTGACTTTGTGGTATTCCTTGGTTCCTGATTGCCAGGAAACTGTTCCTTCCGGAACTATAACACTTTAGAGTAGTCTTTCTGTGGGAGCAGATTTGTAACACTTGCAGTGGGGAAACCTTACCCCTACAACAGAGGAGGATGGTAACACTTCCTGTGGCAAAGCCTTCCCCTCAGAGCTGTGACTCCAATAGGCTCTCCTGGTGCCTGTGCTCCCCATTGGAGGGAGAGGGTCCTAAATTGCACTGCGACTATGCCTTATCTCTGGCCCACCAGCAACAGGCTCACCTTCTAGTTCTCCAATCTGTCAGCACCCCCAACCACCAGCAGCAATTAGGTAAGCTTCCCCTTTGGCCAAAGTAAATGTTTCCCTGAGTCTGAGAAAGTGACCAGAAAGAGTCTGAGAAAGTGTTTGGCATTTGTCTGGCACTCTTGGAAGTGGAGGCACCTCCAGGCAGTCTTTAAAGCTAAAACTGACCCTTCACCTGACCCCATCCCCCAACCCTTGCAGCTGCAATCCTGCAGTTCCCTTAGGCCCTCTTGGGTTATGTGATTCCCCTCTCCAACCCTTTCCTATGGATGAGACACACCCACTCCCCAGGGCTCCATTTTTTGTCCGGTCCTTAACAGGCGTCCACAAAAGCCCTAGTACCGGTTTCTAGTCAGGCTAAGCCCCCAACCCCCATTGAGTGAGGGAAATCTTGGTGGATTCCTACACAGGCAAGGTTGACAGAGGCAGAGGGACAAACATGCCAGGCAGACAGAGCTTAAATGAGACGTTTTATTAGAAAAGGGAGGAAGGGGGAAGGAAAGAGAACAGAGGTAAAGAGACACAGAGATAGAGAGAGGACAGAAGAGAAGAGGGAGACTGGGAAAGTCCTGTGTGCCCCAGGGGAAGGGGGTGTAAGTGGGCGGGGTCCTGACAGGGGGAAGCTGGACTTAGCAGGAGTGGGTAAAGCAAAGGAAGCAGAAGCTGCACACTCCCTTCTCTGGCTGCTTTAATCTCAGCTCTTTGTCTATAACCAGAGCTCAAAAAACAACCTATCTCCAAGCTTCCTTTGTCCTTAGCTTACTAGATTCAGTTTTCAGGGGCTCAGGTGTATAGCAGGTATGAACAGCATTAGACTGTTCTTTTATGTTGTCCTACTTGAATTAAAATCTGTTTCTGGAGTTGGGTATGGTTCCCCTCCTCTAGACCCAAGCATGTTTTTTGTTTGTTTGTTTGTTTAAGGTTTTCTCCAAAATCTCTGTCACATAGTCAGGTACGTGACAGAGAAAGAGAGTAAAACGAAATAAGGGGTAGACTTTCCTGCCAGGGACTATTGCTACTGTCTCATGCCCTTCTGGTTTGACTCTCTAAAACTTTTGCTAAGGTGTATATTTTACCTCATATTGGTAATGATGAAAAACCTGTAAAGTCTGTAACAACGGGGTTAACTTGAAATCCATACCACCTGGCTGCATAGTTAAAAATCTATACGTAGACAATCTTCAAGGAAATGTGGCTTGCTACTATCTTAGCTGCTGTCTCTCATTGGGATGGAGGCAGTCACGTGGCTGACAGCCATCTTTGCTACGGTTAGGAAGGATGGATTTTACTGCATGACTCTTGTCTTGATTAAAAGTGACCACCTGTCATAAGCCAACCAAGGGAAATCTACTCCTTCTAGCTATGAGGCCCAAAGCAGATGATTCCGCCTCAATTTTCAGTCATGTTCATGAGCCTAATCCTTACCAGCCTTAACCCATGGTCCCTTCTTCCCGTCTCAGGCATTTTTGGTCTCCCTTTCTCCCTCTTCACTCATAGGCTGCCCAAGTCAACCCTCTCAGGAGCTCACTTTGAGCCCACTGGCAGCCCTTAGTCCTCCTGCTCTGCCATGGGACCCCTTTACCTCCCCTTGTGATATATTGTTTATGGTCTAATAAAATCATTGGAGATCAGTTTGAAAATCTCTTTATCCTATACCCCCTAGGGCCTAACACAGTTCTGCTTTTGAGGGAGGTTGCTTGGATGGATGGCTTGGTTAGGTTTCATGTCCCCTTCTCGTTAAGTGAACGAGATTGGAGATTAAGGCCCTATGCTGCCAATTCTTACATGATTCTCACCAACAATCTTCTCCCCAAGGAGTTCAGGTGGGTCTGGGAACCGGTTAGGGCACAAGCAGATGAGATCCACCAAACTTAATGTCACCCAACAGTTGGGGCTGTGGCAGTCCCTAACTGGGACCCTGAATGGAATTATAATACCCTCAGGGACATCCTTTCTTGGGATCAATTAATAACCTGTCTTTTGGCTGGTCTCTACAAGGCTGCCTTAAAAGTGGTAAATTATGAGAAAATCGAAGAGGTCATCTGTAGGGCCCTGCATGGACCCCTGAGGCACCTTGAGCAAGCCTGAAGCTGTTGGCCAGAATTTCTTGCCCAAGACCTATTATTGGTACTCTTCCTGTTTTCTTGCCCCTCCCCCAAGTTGTCACTAGTACTCTTCCTGTTTTGCTAACACACACCTCACACACCTGGTGGGGAGGAGCTAAGCCTAATAAGCCTGTTATTTTCCGCTGTGCTGTAAGTCCGTATATAAGCCCACTCCATCCGCTCAATAAATGGCATTTGGCATTCCAACATTGCCATTGAACAAATGACCCGCTGTCTTGTCTCTTTATTCTAATCTCTAGGCCTTCACCCGATTTGTGAAACAGATCGTAGTGAAGGCACTACAGTCATCCAGGACAAACACAAAATAAAAAACCTTCTCAATTCCTAGATTGCTTCACAAAGTCCCTCTTACCCCCAGACAGAAAACAACTCCTTATGATCTACTTCTTCTACCAGAGTTTCCCTGATATATGGGCCAAACTTAAAAGTTTAGAGAAAGAACTCTTGGCTCCACAGGCAGAAGTCTCAGCTATGGCGTGGGAAGGATGAGAAAGCTCGAAAACAAAAATATCTGATGCTGGCTAAAGCTTTTCAGCCAGCAAAGCAGAAGAAATATGTTTTTGTTTTGTTTTTCAAGACAGGGTTTCTCTGTGTAGTCCTGGCTGTCCTGAAACTCACTCTGCAGAACAGGCTGGCCTTGAACTCAGAGATCTGCCTCCCCAGTGTTGGGTCACCACTGCCCAGCTGATTTGACTCTCTTAAGGTGTGTGCTGACTGTTTCTGCTGGCTTCTGCCACCCAACATATTTAGTTCCAAATTCTAGAATCCACCTCTTCTGCTCCCCTTTCCTCCACCTGGTATTCCTTGGCTCCCGACTGCAGGGTATCCTTCTCTTCAGAGCTGTACCACTTTTGGGAAACATCCCCCAACCTCAGAAGAGAGCTGTAACCCTTCCACTGGGGAAGCATTTCCCTCAGAGCTGTAACATTCACATTCTACAAGAGCAACAAATGCTCTTTACTGCTGTCGCCTCTCCAGCCCTTGAACATCATTTTCCTAGACTAAGAAATACATTTCTTAATTCTTTCCTATAGCTAAGTTGTAACTTGATGTCCCGATGATGGCACACATTTTGGAGTGTCCTATGATAAAGGAACAGAGACCTACTTAGATTCCTGAGGGATTCACAGAGCCTACATACTCACCAAATGCTGTTGCAAAACTTGGGAAACCCCAGTGGAGCAAGGCTGAGAATGGAATCATGGGTCCATATCAGCTCAGGAATGAGGAATGTAGGCAGTTGTGCTAGCTCATTTTATGTCAGTCTGACATAAGCTAAAGTCATCTGAGAATAGGGACCTCAATAAAAAAAAAAAAATACTTCCATAATATCATGCTTGGTGAGTGATGGAAGAAGACCCAGTCCCTTGTAGGGGCTATCCCTGGGCTGGTGGTCCTGAGTTCTATAAGAAAGCACACTGAGCAAACCATGAAGAGCAAGCCAGTAAGCAGCACCCCTCCATGGCCTCTGCCTCAGCTCCTGCCTCTAGGTTCCTGCCCTGCTTGAGTTCCTGTCCTGTCTTCTTTCAGTGATATGGAAGTCTAAGCCAAATAAACCCTTTTCTTCCAGC